TTGTTTTACAAGTAATAGCATACTACAGCTGAATCGAATGTGGAAAGAGATCGGAGAACGATAGCACTGTGATTTTAGTATAAATAAACGTTGCTGAACTTTAAAAAAGTGAGAAAGCTGTTCGTGATACTGCATCAGTAGTTGTTAACCAGTGTTTTGCGAAACAGGGGTGTTCCGCAAACCAACCTAGTGTTCCACGGAAAAAAAAAATTTTAAAGTTTTCATTCAAATTTATTTCCATTGCTATATTTGTAGACAATTCCATATTTCTATTTTATTTAATATACTAAAGTTTATTAGTTTATTGCTTCGTTGTTTCCTGAGAATAGTGAATATGGAATTGCTTATCAATTTTTGGATATGTTGTGCTAATTCTCTGTGTAATAAATAGTATGTGAATGGTGTTCCGCGGCCTCAAAAAGGTTGAGAACCGCTGTGTAAATACATTATGGAGATTTTATGCAGCTAATAACATAAGAATATTTCTTACCAATCATCATAATAAAAGCGATGATCAGTATCTTCATTTCTTTCGTCAATTTCTCTTCTTTGTCAATTATTTTAGTCAGCAGCAGATTTATTCGAAAGTTGACTTTGCAACTATTATAGAGATTTGATGAAAAATTTATTTTTCTGATTCGCTGAAATTTCACATATATTTAGGTTTTATAGGATTCTATCGTGTGTCTTGCTGCTCAGGGAAGGCACTATGTTCTGCAGCATTGGTGTTCATAAACATCTTGCTGCAATTTTAATCTATTATATGGAATGTATAGTCCTAAGTACCTGGGACGGTACACAAGGTAATATACCTGTAAGTGCACAGCTCTATAAACTACTGTTGAGCCCTATATGAGTATGGTACAGAAGGTCTAAATAGAAGGTGATATTGCACTGAAGTCGATGGGAGTTACTAATGCGCTTACGCAGGTACAGCAAGATGTGGTAGTGGGGCAGGATGTCTAAAATTATTGATATGGAACAGATAAAAAATTTAATTTATATTACAGATGGATGATAGAAATCAGCACAAACTTTATATAAACAGAAATTAGGTCACCAGCTGAATATAAACATTTGAAAATTATACTAAATATTAAATACATTTTAGAATAAATAGACAATTCTACAAAATATAAAATAATATATAGGCCTACACATGTAACACAAATAAAACACACGTGTAAAATTATTTCTAAATTAATTTCTATCAAACAACAGAAATTTATAAGAAAGTAAATCATTAAAGTAGTAATTACAGTAGAGCCTCGAAAACTCGGCCTAATGTGGACCGAAAGGTGGCCGAGTTTGTGAATATGCCGGGTTATCGGGAATGGGGTTTAAAAAAAATAAGTATAAGTGTTTCCTCAGAAAATATTGTACTGTACTTGTATGTATTGTTTACTTGAGAATACAACAGAGAATAAACTGCCCAAATACCCTTAAAAAAAGGAAAAGTACGTCCTTTATGAAGGCATGGAACCTTTACTACATGAAAATGAAAATTAATGAAGACACTGTACAGTAATTTACCTGATAAGACAGACCTCAGAAAAGTACTTTATGAGGCATAAAGCTGTCTTTATCATGAAAATTAATTAACTAAGGATTTATTTATGCTTTTAACACAATAAAGTGCTATAAATTAAGACACTTGGCGGGTTTTCTCATCTTTATTTAGTTGATACTTGTGAACACACGTATCAACTAAAGCATAAACAAATTGTAAAGCACGGTTTCATATCATCATCATAACTAAGGATTTTTTTGCCCTGCCAGGGTGTGGCCGAGTTATCCGGAGTGCCGGGTTATCGAGTGCCGAGTTTTCGAGGCTCTACTGTATTATTATTTCTTCCCTATTTGGCCTGTAAATAATAACAAAGAGTCTTAATCAGACTGATTGTCGGTAGGAAAAGAGAGGCTGTTAACCCATCTGATACGTCTATGATCGAATGTAGACAAACAAAAATCCCTAGAATATTTCAGGTGACATGTCTATCCCGAATATTTAGGTTCGCACGATAGCTTCTATTTCTCCCTTGATGTAGACACAATGCATAAAAATTTAGTACATATCTTGTGGGTTCAAGGTTACAATGAGAAATAGAAGATAGTGAGGGACAGACTGTCTATAAAAAAAATCCTATTCTATTGCTATTTCGAACAGGAAAATAATTTTTTCTACCTTCTTCTCTTGAGATCACATTAATGAAGTGTTTTCCCATATTTCTGATACTACTTGAGCTCTAATGCAATTTTTAGGCACACCAACGTATTTCATCAAATATGTTCTTACAAGTGTAAACGTAAAATTACGTTCAAACTTTACAATTTTTTATGTACAGTATCATATATGTTAAATATATTGATATGATACTGTTATATTTAAAACGTGTTTAAAATATAAATAAAATTAAATTAATATTTTTTCCACTTATTTAGAAGCAATTAGTAAAATAGAACACGCAGATGTATTCTACTGGACTGAATTTATCAGAGGCATTTGTAAAATTTGATTCATACTATACTTACACCTGTATAACACATATTACAACTACAGCATATTTGTATATAAATAGGGTTTTAAAAACTTTTCTACTTTTATTGGATGTTACACAATCTGAATGTTGACAGAAAGGTAATAATCCTTGTTTTAATTTTTATGTAATGTAATCTGAATTATTTTAAGCTTTTATAAAATAGAAAACAAGAATAGGGAACAAATATACGTAAAATAGACTTTAATGTTAAAAAGTAGTGTTCTGTCTTTTAAAAGTTGTAACAAAGAGCTAAACTTTCATAAACTATACAACAAGATAAGCAGGTTTAATTTATTTTATTAGCTACAATTTCAAAAAATTATAGACCTGTAAATTTTCTACAATCCTCTTTCTTATGTCTGTCCTTCCTTAATCTGAAAAAATTTGTTAGACAGATAAAAGGCGAATCTCGATTTGAAAGTCGTACAGGCAGCAGTCCCAGATTAACAATATAAGAACCTCTAATGCAAAACGGAAATCACGTTGTTTTAATTCAAACTATGTCCCATGAAAGGTGTTAGATGACCAAAAGAACTGTATTGTTAAAGTAAATGTATGATGTACAGGGGCAAAACACTAATAATTTGAGGTGGAGAACATATATTTTAAATTAAACAAATTTAAAATATGATTAAAAATTGCAGCCCGGAATTGAGACGATGTCACAACAAATAATTTCTAAATAATTATTCGAATTTTATATATTCAATACGGTTAGGATTAACACGATTTCGGATTGTAGTTTTAGATGGATGTGTTTATTACTCGAGTATAAACGGGAACGATATCAGAAACACACACAGTTTTCTCTTTACTGTTATTTGTATTAAATACAGTAGAGCCTCGATTATCCGACCCCCGATTAACCGACGCCTCGGTTAACCGACCGTCCTAGTCGGCAAATTTCAAATGCCCGCAAGTGATGTGGCGCTACAATATTTGGCTATGTCTTGGCTACTTTAATATTATTTTTACGTGTTTTAGCTGGCAACACTCATTCGACCATGAAAGGGCGCCAGTATTTAAATGAGGCTTAATTTTTTAATTTTTATCCTTTTCCTCGAAAATTTANTAGATATATAATATGCACAACTTTGTTGCTGATAGAAAAAGTATTATGTACAGGAGCAAGACACTACTGATTTGATTTGAAAAGCATATATTTTAAATTAAATAAATTATTAAAAATTGCAGCTCGGCATTGTGATGATGTCACAATAAAGAATTTTACTCATTATTATCATCAACTTTTATTCGTAATAAGGCAATAGCCAGTTACAAAGGATGAATAATGGTAACAAACAGTTATTTTTTAACATCAGAACCAACATAATCTAACATATCACGCGGTCAGATTCAATTTTTAATATATTTATTAATTCTAAACTGAGTACTACTATTCTATGTTACATTCGAAAGTTTTTGCCTTAGAATTATCAAATTATATCATGTAACTTATTGTATCGTTGATATTAGTGTAATTTTCCTTCTTCTGTTTATTAGCAGCTATAATAAATTAGTTATTATTAGAATAACATAAATTTATGCGCATAATTATATATTCAATAAATTTTGTCGATCTTAGCTGCATGGAAAACTTCATACACAGCTCTTTCATTGGTACATTTAGATAAAAATTGCAGGTCGAACCTCTGCTCTGTGCCACCTCATTAGCATCTCTAAACCACAAAACATGTGAAATTTTGAGATTATATTATGATATCTTGGACAGATACTCTAGGAAAACTCAAGGAATTTATTACTGATTATTATAAATTCTTTATTTAATCTGAGTTGTATGAAAAATCTTTTAACATTGAAAGCTAGATTTGTTAACATATAGTTGTTGTCGTATGGGTATTCTAGAATTATTTTGTACTACTTGGGTTTCTCCCTACTATGTATTTCTTCTATATCCTGTGCTAAGGAGATTTCTAAGATATTTTGTATTAATTATTGGATAACTTGCGCATTTATCTCAAGTAGATCCATAAATATTTTTATAGAAAACACATACTGTATAGGTTAAGTATTTTTGACAATTGAGTTACCCAGTTTCTGCTTTGCTCTTTGACCATAGAATTCCGATATAATTTATATAATAATCTCGTCGATACATATTCGGCATTTTTTAAATTAAACAAAAATTTAATATATCTCTTTTTTAAGATTGCCCTTAATTTAAATCTGTTTAGTTCCAATCTAAGAGTACTACCTGGCATGTTGTACTCCAAAGAAAAAATTCTACATATGAATTTGTTTCGAATTATATCAAATTTTTGGAAATTGTTAAGGCTCCAAATTAGTGCCGCATGACCAATCGAATTTACAATCAAGGAGTTAAAAAGACGGAAATGTACATAAATATTCTTCATTTTTACCTTAGTAAATAATTTCAGCATATTGTTTATTAGACTATTAGCTTTGATTGACACCTTTTTGTGTTGTTTACCAAATGATAGATTTGGTGTTAGTATAACACCTAAAAATTTTATTTCTTGAACTACCTTCAATTCTTCATTGTTAATATGAAAAGACATATGTTTCTTTGGCAGTTTGGTTCCATTCCTAAATATCATAACTTCTGATTTCTTTGGGTTAATTTTTAATTTCAGCTCTTCAAAGTATGTCTCCACCAATTTAATTTTCCTGCGCAAAGCCGCAGCTGTAGGCGCAATTATCACAATATCATCCGCATAGGCAATCGAATGCACAACCTGATCAGCAATTATAAACGCATAGTCATCATTTCTAAAGCATTTGTTGATATCAAACGAGTAAAAGTTAAATAGGTGGGAAAACCATGGTTCTCCGTGTAGTAATCCTCTTTTTGCTTGAATCAAAAGGTAGCCATTGTATAAATTTTTGTTTAATAATTGATTTGTGATAACCAAATAGTAACACTATAATGTTTATTAAACGTTAACTTGCTTGATAATGGATCAATTTAATTTGTAAATCTAAAATACTAAGAGAGTCGTATGCCTTTTCTAAATCTAAGAATAATGCAAAAATTTTCCGCCTTTTTTAAAAAAGTTGAATCTGAATAATTGCAGTAAGTACAATGAAAGCCAGTTGAGTGCCTCCATTTTTTATGAAAGCATATTGAGTTTCGTTTCTAAAATTATTTATATCAATCCAATTGTTAAATTTAAATAATAATACAGCTGTAAAAACTTTATGTAGCCCTGATAATAACGCATTAGGCCTATAGTTGGTAATTTTCTATCTCATTGTTTAAATAACGTAACAAATATTACCTCATTCCATACTTTTGGGATAACTCCACAATTATAAAAAAACCATTAAATTGTCTTGACAGATAATTAACTATTTCTATAAGAAAATTTTTAATTATACAATTAGGAATTGAATTAGCCCCAGGAGCTGTGTTTTCTTTTAGCTTTTTGATGCAATAATGTACTGTACATTAGTCCTATATGGTCAAATATAAAATTTCATTCATGAAAATATTTTAATTCTTATTTTACTTTTATATTTTCAGAATGAATATGAAAATTTTGATTTCATTTCTCATCTGTCTGCATACTATATCCGTGATCAATGGAGAAAAAATTGTCCATACATTAACTGGAAGTGTCAGAGGAAAAATAACAAAAGTCTTTTGTAATGATGTAATTGAGTATTTAGGTATTCCTTACGCACAACCTCCAGTTGATAAACTCAGATTTCGAGCCCCTCAACCAATTGAGAAATGGCACGGAATTCTGAATGCAACAATAGTGGCACCCGTCTGCACCCAAGACCCCAGAAATTCACGTTCCTCCACTGTACCGCGGAATCTGCGTTACATGAGTGAAGATTGCTTATATTTAAATATTTGGGTTCCAGTTGAGCGACGAACATCGAAACCGTTCACTACAATGGTATGGATACATGGTGGAGCATACAATAGAGGCAGTTCGACAATATCATATTATAATGGACGCTACTTAGCTTCTATTGGGAATGTTATCGTCGTTTCGTTTAATTATCGACTCGGCTCATTCGGATTCATGTATTTAAACGACACCAGAATGCCGGGAAATATGGGAATGCTAGATCAAGTTACTGCGTTGAGGTGGATTTACAATAATATAGAATATTTCGAAGGAGACAGAAATAACATCACTCTATTTGGACAGAGCGCTGGCTCTGTCTCGATTACGGATCACATGATATCACCTTTGTCTAGAGAACTGTTCGGAAGAAGTATTCTTCAAAGTGGCACAAATTACAATAATATTTTTGTAAAAACACCAGAAGAGAATGAGGAAAAAACAAAAGAAATTGCCACGATAGCTGGTTGTGATACGAGAAACACATACCCTGACGATGTAATAAATTGTTTGTTAAGCTTAAAAGCCCAGGACTTAGCAGCTGCCGAAAGAAAATTTGCAAAAAGTAAAAATACGTCGCTGACTTTTACAGAGCAAGTAGATGGTCATTTTCTTCTCGACAACGGTATAAACAGTATTAATAAAGGCGCAGTTCACAACAGAGAGATGATGATGGGATATACCGCAACCGAAGGTTCGCAATTTTTGTTATCCTTTAAACCCAAATTTCAAACAGAAGATATTCCGAAATTACATAAATCAGATGCAGAATATATTCTGAGTAAATTCTACTTCATAAATGGAACACATCTTGAAGATGCCTCAGAAGAATATTTTGGAAAATTGTCAAATAACGATTACTCATCCATCGCTCAACGAACTGTTGAAGCGTTAGGAGACGGATATATTTGCCCTATTAGGGCTGCAGCGGAAAAGTTATGGCAATATGATAACACAGTTTATTTTTATAATTGGAATTATTCTCATATTACAGCAGGTTATAAAGAATGGGAAGGTGCTCCTCGCTTTGAAGATGTTTTCTTTGTATTTGGAATGCCGTTTATGTATCCTGAATTTTTTACAGAAGAAGAGAAATACTTTAGTTATCAGATCATTCAACTGTGGACTTCTTTCGCAAAAACGGGGTAAGTGCTTTATTTCGCTGTTTGAAACAAATGAAAATTTAAAATTACGTCTAAAATGTTCTCTTATATTATGCTTTATAGAAATGCTACAACTCTTCGAATCTATTTGTAGGTTGCACCTCACAGATATAGATATTCTAACTTTTTCCTACGTACAGTACTTTTATCACTTCTTTTAAATATTTCTGCTGTTATAGGATATAACACAAGGAAAGTATGGTGATTTATGATAATTACACCAACCGTCTTTTGCATTTTTCGACATTTGACTCTATAGCAGTTCAATAAAAAAATGCAACAAAGTAATCTTTATCAAATTCGATATGTACCCCTTTCTCGATCACGAGGCGTCTGTATAACGTCTAGTGAAATTCAAGTTTTCTAATTTTTTCGAACTGCTAAAAGTGCGATAAATAACGTTTATATTGCGCATCGAGTTTACTCGCAAAAAATTCGAAAAAGACTCGCGTGTCAGACATCCCACGCGACTTTTCGGTTAGGAAAATTTAAGAAAAACGCGTGGGGTTCTGTTGATCGCGATTATCGCGAGTATCTTTATTTGTTCTCTACTCTTCTCTTCCGATAATTTTTTTCTTTTTATTTTACATTTGTTTTGGAGCTGCAATTTGAAAACTCGTAGACTTATAAATTACCCGTCTTGGCTGTCTGTCCGTCTGTCTGTCTTTTCTTAATCTCGAGAATGTAGTTAGATAGATAAAATCCGAGAGGAAACAGAAAGATCAGGCCCCGATAGATTATATAAAAACTTTCGGTCTGAACCGGAAGTCATGTGATTTAAATTCCTATTTTTCGTCTCTACCTTTTAAGTTTTGAGTAATTAATTACAGTATTAATTAAGTTTATTTAGACAAGTTTGTCATAGATCTCTCTGAAAACGCAATGTTTTCCCTCGGCTATTTCGTTAAAGATTATGTAAACATGTGGTAAAAATTATTCACGTCTGTTTACAAAGCAGCTGTTTTCTTTTGTTTAATAGAAAGTAGATACATGTAACTTTATAATTTTTTAATTTTTATCCTTTTCCTCGAAAATTTAAAATTTAAGTATTATTTTAAACTTGTATTATATTTTACATTTAAAAATCGTAAACTGTGAGACTTTTGCGACCAAAATATAAAAAAACTGATCGATTCTAGCCCGATTTTGAAGCGAGGTGTGATAATTTACTATTATACACTGCGAGAAGTCGTAATGTCGCGCGCGGGAAAAAATAGCGACAAAAAATATAAAAATTAATTTTGATGATAGAAATTGTGCTAATTGTACAATGTTTATTGCGTAACAATTGTTGCAAATGTATTATTTTGATGAATTTACGAGAATATTTTTAGTTATAAGTAAAAGAATTTATGAATTCGACATCATGTCGTAAATCGCCGAAATTTTATGGTGCGCTAAATATATTTTCGGTTGCTTTATTTCTCATATAGAAAACATTTCTTTTTATACAATAAAATTTTTTAAATGTTTTTTGTAATATTTCGAGCAATGTTGATTTTGAAAAGTATATAATCGATTTTTGATAAATGCATGACTTATCACACAAAAAATAAAAAAATAATAATTTAAAATAATGACATATAAAAGAGCTAATCACTAAACCCTACTTTATTCGACGACAGCACTCAGTGTCTGTGTTTTTCGATATAGAGAAGGCCTGCGGTCGTTGCTGGCGATACGGGATACTCCGTGATCTGCACCAATTCGGATTGCGGGGTAATTTGCCAATCTTTATAAAACACTTCCTACAGAATCGAATATTCCAAGTTACAGTAATCGAAGATTAGTTGGCATCACTTTATCTTGGCCTTTCACCCAAAAAGAAGGTGTTCCTCAAGGTTCTGTTTTAAGTGTAACTCTGTTCCTAATTAAAATTAATAACGTAGCTAACTGTCTTCCTCCTAGTATCAAACATACTCTGTATATGGATGACTTCCAGATCTCCTGCCAGTCTAATAACATGAGTTTTATCGAGAGACAACTGTGAGAACCGAGCGGGCAAAACGCCTAGCTTGATCCCGCTTATCGGCTTCCTTGTCAGGCGATGGCTTAGGAGGGCTAAAAGTGAGTGGGGAGGTCGATGAGTAAGTTGACAGGTTCCCAAATAAATACACAGGTTCACAGGTTCAACAAATATAACATATTTAATAAACAATTAAATAATACAAGCAAAGGCATAAGCAAAAGCTAATAACTACCCCAAATGGGAATGATAAAATATTCTCGTTCGCGACAATTCTGTCGGAAGACCGTCTAAAGTTCGATAAGAAGAGAGAGACCCGAGTGAGAGATAAAAATAATGTGTTACCTCCTGGTTTCCCGATCTTGTTGTATGGATCGTTGGCAAAAACGTTCTGGGATCGGTGGAGTTGACCATGGAATATTCTGGTAGGGTGGCGACGGACAGAGTGTCGGTATGGGTCTGGTATCCTTGGTTGATGTCCGCCTGGACGATTGTGTCTAAGCCCTTTTTATCCTATTTTTGAGGGGTGAGAACTGTCAAATAGTTGATGATTTATAAGAACACCTGTTAGCTGTGCAGGATCTAGATCCAGCTGGTACGGAACGTCGACAATGTATTCTTTGGTCGGATTGTTGACATTGGTCTTCTGAAGGTGAAATTTTATGATATAAATTTCTACGAATTTGACAATTCTCCATTAATTATTGTATAGTTTGACAATATCTTCTCAGTTTAGACAACAATTTCTAGAATTGTTTATATTAAATATCGCATTAGTCTATGAGCGAGGCAATTATTATCATGTTTCGGTTATCGTGCAGGTGTCCGCAGACACGTGCTACGTGCAGCTAAAGGATGGGTGAGAAATGCTGTTCATTAAGGCTGGTATACACGGTAAGGAAATCCTTTGAGGATTAACCGTGATTTTTTTTCTATCTATCCATTTTTAAATAAAAATAATTCTTTATACGTTGGGAGATATTTTAATAAGTTTGGTAAATTACTATGTTCGATCCAGCCAGTTATATCCGAGTTTTTTTCGTCTGTTAACCACATCCTTTGAGGATTTCCTTACCGTGTATACCAGCCTTTAGTTTCTTTTAAACGTCTGTTCTTGCCTTGTTGATTATCGATATAGACTGTGACATTTAACCCGAGGAGAGAGTTTCGATCGTTGATTGTAGACTGACCCTTTTTTCTGTAGAATTACTAGGGTTAGGAGGAGTACGATACTGATTTAAACAATACGAAAAAAAGGGGACAGAATATCAAACCACTATACTCTTTCTCAAAAACACATTAATTGTTGTTATTGAAGTCATCCATGTGACGGAATTGCTTGATTCCGGCGAAGTTAGCAATGCGAGAAATTGGAGGGGAGTAATTCAGTAATGAAACTTATCTGTCCATTTTTTATTTTTATTTTTTGTAAGGTGGGAAAAACTGGTAAAACCGAACATTCAGAAGGTTGACCTCATTTGTGAATTATGGTCGTATAATGTTATTTAATTCACTCTCTCTCTCTCTCTCTCTCTCTTGGAAATCTCGCGTTCGCGTTGGGTTCGCGAAAGAAAAAGAAGGTGGTCGACTTACGCGTACAATATGGAGAAGTCGACGTCTCTAGAAACATTAATAATAACATTCTAAGATAAAGTATAACATTTCAAAAGTTACAAATGATAGAAATAAACAAAAATTTCCCACGTTGCTTCAGCTGGGGATGTGAAGTACTGTACACGGTGATTCATTGTCACCTTGAAAGGTGAAAGTCCGTCAACTGAACTGTTGGTCGGTTCATCTTTAGTTGGTTTCGAAGTAGCAAGGAAATTGTCCAACTTCTTCGGATGGTCTCGCTGTAGACACTTCCGGTTTTTTTTTCTCACGTCACGGACTCCATCCAGAGTTGAATACTGCTGGTTCAACTTGAGGTAAGTAGATGAAGGTCAAGGGAGAGTAGGTTGTCTGATCGTAAGACGGTAGTCACAGGGACGCTTCTATGTTACACAGTTAAAAATCAGTACAGTTCATACTAAGAGTTTAAAATTAACACAGTTCCCATTAAGCAAATTGATAACGTCAATATTCTCTTAACTTCTTTTCTCCAATTTCTTCCGGGACAGAGGTATACAAATTAACAAAAAAGTTATACTCTCTCTTTCTCTTCCCGTTTCCTATTCTTCACATAAAACTAAAAATCCAAATGACACATTTTCTTTCGATATCTATTCTACTTATAGGCTAAGGTTTAGAAGTCAGGAGTGATGAATGGACTGCTTTTTAGCTCTTATATCTCATTACTTTACTACTGGTTTCGATTTTGACAAATCGCGATTGAAACTTTAGATGATCGATAAATTTTAACATTTCCTTTTTAATGATGAACTCAGGATATTTTTCTTCTAATTATCAATTAGAGATTCAGACTATGTACAAAAAATTTTAACATTTCCGATAAAAAATCGGATTGGGCTCAGTGTGGCTTTCCTTTTTTTTTAATTTTAGATTATCGGATTGCTCTTTCCTCCCCTGGGGAAGGATAACTAAATTCCCTTGGCTCTAGGATTCTCTCCGCCTTGGGAGACAATTTATAGCACCTTTATAGGAACAACATTTTGTAGAGGACGTCGTCCCTTTTTTCGCCTCTTTCGAAACGCGCAATTCGTTTTAATTATAGAAATGTTTCCCCCTTTCGGGAGCAGTTCCTTTCTGACTTTCGGACCCTTTTGTCGGGACTATTTGCTCGAGTTTACAGGCAACCCTTTTTTCCGGGACCGTCAGCGGGCCCAGTCGTATTAAATTAACTTCGGCTGTCTATCTTCCTCTTTTTACTCTCCGCCTTTCTCCATTTCGGAGATGCGGTGATATTGCCTTGCAAAAATGAATTAGTTTTCTGTAGGTAATATGATTCGCTCATTTACGGCATCTATACTAATTCCTTGGGACTGAAGAATATCTCTTCCCAAAATTCCCTGACATGAATGAGTGATCTCGGACCTAACTGTTTTACATATATGGGAAAATTTGTACCCTCTCAATTTGAAATTAGGTTAGTAATTTCTCTGTAAAATTTTGTTGGATCCCAGACTATGTAAGTTTAAGAGGAAATGAAGAGGCTTACGCAGCTGCAAAGTCCGCAAGTTCTTCACAGCATGCAATGCCTATTGAAGAAAATGATTTGAAGCTAGTCATTAAAAAACGACTAGCAGAGAGATGGCAAATCATGTGGAATGCACAAGTCCACAATAAACTACACGAGATCAACCCTATGATATAAAATTGGACACATAAGAAACAGTATGACAGGAGATCTGAGGTTATTCTTATTCGTTTGAGAATTGGACATACTCGACTGACTCATTAATACCTTCTGAAGGGTGATGACCAGTCAGTATGCCAGTGTTGCTCCTGCCCTCTAAGGGTAAAACACGTACTGTGCAATTGCCCTGCCTTCGAGAGGAGGCGTAGACAGTATTTTGGAAATGCAAGTCTGAGAGAGATTTTGGACCAGAGCTTGACAAGCTACTGGACTATCTGAAAGTCACTAATATGTACGTATAGACAGATTTGATTTTTATTATTTACCTTTTACCTTCATATATATTGTTGTTTGTTTAATTTTATTGATTTTTTGTTGTTATATTATATTATATATATACTGTATATAGTAGTTTACACAAATTGACTATTTGGCGTGGCTGCAGCAACTTGGCCTATGTGGCCCTTGAGCCAAAAAACACTAACTAACCAACCACTAAACCCTACAGAAAACATTCTCTGGAGTAAACGACAACAAAAACATTATCATCTGACCAATTTACAACCAGATGGAAGCTTTTGTTTGCAGAGCGATTAAATAATTAGCGGTTTCTTGACATTAGCAGTGAGAGAGGGTAGAGCTGGCTGTACTGATAATCTCCTAAGACAGTAATGATATTTTCCTAAGCTTACTTTAAGAACGAAAATGTCGTACTCTTTATTACTAAAAACCTCACGTCAATAGTCAATACATAAAACTTGAAATAATTTACAGCGAGTTGAAATTTGATATGTTTACTTTTTTGCCTTTTTCGTATCAAATTACATTAAATTAAACGTAAATAAAGCACTTGTGTCAATATAAAAATATTTTACATTGTTTGAAAGTTGTAATAATAATTTTTGATGCGGAGCTAAAACTTTACAATTTTACAATAAAAAATGACTTCTGCGACACGCCATGCGATGAAACTAGGGAGCGAGGGGCAAGCGATGTGAGAAGGGGTACTATCGTGCATGCATGTTTGTTAGTAACTATTGTTCCTTATATGTCTGATGACACAAAAACTCTGAAACTTAGAAAGATTACTTCTATATATAAGGTATTTGGTACTTTTAAATGTAGGTGATAACTGGTAGGGGTAACTGGGGAAAATGAGATAGGTCGTGGGCATTGTCTCAAGTGGGGCAAAACTTGAAAATGTTGCTCGTCGATAGTAAAAAAATCAGTTTATTTTCACCTTCAAACAAAGATTTTTTTCTAAGTTCTTTCTACTTGCTATACGGAAACTACAGCAGTGTAATAAGTCCTATTAATAAACAATGCCCAAGTAGACAAAGAAAAGAACAAAAATTAATATAAGTAAGGACATAGAGAAAAAATAATTAATGAAATTCTATACTTTATCGAAGGTCCATAGTCTTATTTATGCCTTTTCCAGATCAGTCTGGAATTCTTCTAGTTACAGGCAATCTGCATAGATGATTTTATGTGCGAAAGGTTGTTTACATTTATGTCTTATTTGTAAAATTTGAAATGATTTTAGAACACTGCTTTTCATTTGAATTCTTAACTAAGTTCGTAGGGATATTTTTAATTACTTGTATAATAATAATTGTATAAATTTGAAAAAAAAACTGAACTGTTTTAAAAAACAGTATGACAAAAAATATTATACTAATTATAAACAATTACAGTAAAAATAATCAGTCAGCTATATAATTTATATAGTTTTACTATTGGTTATACCAGGGCTTCTTAAACTTTTTTATTCGCGACCTCATTTACGATTGTGATTTTTTCGCGACCCCCAAATATAAAATAAAGATATATACAGATTTGCAAAAACAATAATGGTGTACTACCACAGTTCACTCTTGTGTTACAATGGAACAGAGACAACTGAATACACTGAAAAGCAACAACACTACACTAGTTTACACTACAGTGTTACTGAATCGTTTTTTTGCTGCACCAGAAGTGACACAAAGCGCAACTCACAAAACATATCACACAAAGCGTGCCATTTTCAAACTCTCACAAATTATTTTCAATATTTTGCATTAAAATCTCGCGACCCCAAGATTTTGCTAAGCGACCACAAATGGGGTCGCGACCCATAGTTTAAGAAGCCGTTGGTTATACTATTTTACACTATAAATACATTCAATCTTATTTTTGAGCATAAAACGAATTTCTATATTTATTTGTTAATATATAAAATCTGATATGCTTTTTGATGAATGATGAAGCTAAATTGCACAGATTTAGTTTGATATTCTGTTTATTTACTTATTAGACATTTCTTTATAATCCAAATAATTTGAATTTCGTTTACATGATTTCAATTCACAATTAAAATATTTATTTATTCAATAAACGAATCAATTTTACATTATTGTAATTTTCGTACACATATTTGATAAATTGGTGTTGAATAAGAGATTCTTATCCCTGTTATATAGTAGTAGTTTTCTTATCGGCGAAGGCCTCCTAGTGGCATAGTAGTGTTACCACTAAACCCTAAACTAGGGGTGGCCAACAGTTTTTCCCCCGGGCCGAATTGGAAAGAAAACTTTTTCCACGGGCCGAACCAGAGGCTCCCCTAGAAGATTTTGAGGTGGTGCGAGATCTCATTTGGTGTCACCCCGTAGAGACTGAATTGTGGATAGAGACTACAGATACATTTTTCACATTATCATGCTTTATCAACACTACGCTTTACTTACGAGATTTGTAATGGAGGGTTAACTCTAAATGCACAGTAAGTTGTTGACATTTTTTTTTATTTTAGGCGTCATATTTTTCATCGAGCTATTCGAACTTCAGTAGCTAATGTTGAAAGATTGATTGCGATCAATCTTTCAACATTAGCTACTGAAGTCCGAATAGCTCGATAAATTCGTAAATCCGGCCACATAAATTCATTAGACGGCCGGATCTGGCCAGCGGGCCGTAGGTTGGTCATGCCTGCACTAAACTGTAGAAACAAAACACTTAAAAGAAATGACTGGTCCTCATTAAGCTAGCCGCATATAGTTTTAATGGTATTATTTACATTGTGTAACACTTACACGGATCGAGTTTATCGTAAAATGTCTTTCGAAGAGAGAAATTCTTCTCGGCACATCGACTTTTGTTGCTCTGACCTATCAAATGAAATTACTTTCAACTGTACAGACAAGATACGAAACAGGTGTATGAACTTCTATTATAATTTTATAGATAGCTTCTTTCGTATTTAATAGTTTCTTTCCTATTTTCCTATTTAATCATAATCTATTGTATGTAGTATATAAAAAATAATACGCGTTTATTAGAATCTATTGCAATTTTTAAAGACCAAATAAGTTATGAATAGTTTATATTCTTGTACAGTTTTATTAATTTATTATATTAATTCTGAATTTTATTACATTATTTTTTTTGTAGTAAACCATATTATGAGAAAATGAGTGAGGATTGGTTACCGTTTGATTCTATTCATCGAATAATTATGAATCTGGAACCTGAAAAAACCCATATTTACGAGCAGACGATAAAAAATGAATGTGAAGTATGGTTGAAGTTCTAACGAGATGCGAGTTCTTAAATTTAGCGGTGTACTATTTCTTTTCATTGTCAGTTTGTTATATTTACTTATATTTCATAGAAATATCGTTCTGACTGTGTTTTTCAACAACTTAATTAACAAATATTTTATCATTTTTTAATAACTAATAAAATAATAATTAGAAAATTAAAGTAAATAAATTCTGTAACTTATATCTCTTCGGAAGATTAACGATTATACTTCCGCAATGTTTACTCTGTATTTTTTCTTTTTTGTAAATTTAAACGTAAATCTATCAATGTATGTTTAGTTTTTTGATATTTTCAATTTGGTTAAGGATACAATTATTATACTTGGTGAAATTCAATTGTATGGGAAATAAATAATAACATCAAGAGTATAGAGTGAATCTTTTCTTTTCTTTTTAGTTTACTAAGTCAAATAATAATTAAAATGTTATAAAACATTTGAAACAAATTAATGTTTATTATATTATGATTCGGTATTTTTATATTATAAATTTTTGAGAAATTAAAATATTCATTTACCATATAATGAACTATTTATGAAATGTCGTGTTGCGTGAGTAGCGACTGCTCGTTATATCGTAAGACCTGATAATTTATATAATACTAATAATCCAGAAAAGTAACAGGAAATAAAATATAAACTATATTGATTTGAATATATAATAGTATTTTAGTGAACACTTGAAAAAGTAATATTGTAATAAATTATATGAAGATGTTTATATCTAATTGATTTCAAGCAGCGATGTTTAGTAACAAGAAATTAGGTCCTACATTCACAAACGTCTGATAAGACACGAGGTGGTATGTCTGCAATAAACATTACCAGAAACTAACGATATTTTACTTTTCGTATTCATAAAACACGTAGTCACACTTATGACAAAACAGAAAATGGTAACGTGAGCATTTCTGACGACATCACTAGTGCTGACTCCGTATTAATAGAGCCATTTGATAGTGATATATTTTTAGAATTTTCTGGAGTCACTTGCTTGAATTATATAGCAAAATGTTATTTTATTTTGTTAGAATTAAAACGGATAGGAACATACATTGTTTATATGTAGATTAACTAAAATTGTAAACAACATATCTTGGAATGGAACAAAATCTGCCCAAAATTAAATATTGAAAAAGTTTTAAAAAAAATTGACAAAAAAATATTTTTTGTTACAAAAATAAAATCTAAATTAATGAAATTATAATGGCTTTCAGTACATTTATCTTATATTTGACGTTTTATGTTACAAATTCATAAGTATGGCTTGAAGAATTAACTCTTAGCTAATTAAATTAAAAAGAAAATATAGTTTGTACTACATTATGCTTACGTGTGATTACATAAGGAAGTACGACTCCGTTCCTACTAGTCTGTTGAACCAATATTTTTTCAAATCATAACAACAAAAAATTTTACTTGAAATGAGATTTTTAAATTATAATCTGAATATAAATTACTTAAAATGTGAACATAATTTAAAAGTTTTGTAAAGGGAAATGCAGGATGAGCTATTGTTAAGTCGCCTATTTTCTTTTAGCAATCCCTTAGCAATCCCTTTTAACAATCCCTTACCATTTGGAAAACCTATAAGCACTGGTAGTTAGTTATAATAATAATAATAATAATATTTATGTATCAATTACATTGAGCATATAAATTTATCTTGCATGAACAGAGTGCTAATACTAATGGCGAGTTCTCAGTAGCAGTATTCTATACACTTTCGACATTTAAAATTTGTAAAAATTCGAGTATTGTAAGATAAAAAAAAAATATTAAACTGAATCTTTCGGTGCCAAAAAGGCACCACTACTTCTGGGCGTGTGAATATTGTGGGCTAGGCGAGTCAATATTTACAATGCGTCACTACCACTTTACCATAAATAAATAATTAAATAAATTAACGATATACAGTAATATCTCTATTTTCGTCCATAATCCGTCCGAAAACAATCGACGAATCTGAAAGCGACGAATATCAAGGCAATTATTTCTATATGAATCAATGTAAATCCAATTAATTCGTTCTAGATACTGCAAAATACACATCAAAACACATTTTGTAGAGACTAGATGTACTGTTTAATCCTAAAAACAATGAGAAATTAATATAAAAGGAATATAAAACATTAATATGATGGCCTCCGAAACAGAATCGCCATCTAAGCGTTTTTGATTGATCCAAATTATTAAAAACTGTTCGAAATCTTCAATTGTATGCGATCTGTGTTACGATAGTACATTCACACCTTTCCCTACATTTGCCTCCTTTATTGTTTACGTTTTCGCAACAATGAAACTTATCTTGGATCGCGACTTGTCGTACATTCGCCGATTTCAGAAATCTTAATGCCGCTTTCGTATTTTTCAATGATTTCCCTCAACTCTATCGTGTTCCTGGCCTTGTTCATCAAAAGGCTACCGGCTCTGGAAACTTTCTTTGGTTACATGATGGAACTAAAATAAAAAGAAAGCAATAGAATTGTTTGGCTAGACGCGCTGTATAATGCTCACACAACGAGAAACAACACCGCACTGAAGACGAAAACGCGTGGGACGGCCTTTATTTTTGCAAAATTAGCAGCGAGATCACGTGGACACACCGACAAAATCCGAAGCAACCGACGAAAACCGAGGTATTACTGCATTAAAACTGAAAATGCCTTAGCAGCTTCTAATTTATATCATCAATTAATGCATGGTTTGAATAGTTCAACACTCAATTTTCATTACAAAATTGATTATTTTTTAAATGTGCTTATGGCATTAACATAGCCGAACAAAATAATATATTTGATAATACAGAATAATTGAAAGTATTAGATGTGTATCTAAACAATCACTTCAAACATTTCAAAAGGAACGCTTATATCTAGATTTATATTTCGAACTTAGTTTTTTATTATTTTCTGTATGTGTGACTAATATGTCTTTCTGTTCTTCGTTTATGTTTTTAGATAAAACATTGGTAGCTTTCATTTTGTTCTTGCGTCCTATATCGCTATAACACAAAAGTAACTGTTACACGTGCTAACTAATTAAGAAGTGATGGAATGAATGTTGCCCATTAAGAAGTTAGTTACCAAATATTGCTTCTACCACACCTGCTATGACCATTTTATAACGCTGGACCATTACTACAAGGTCCAGCGTTATGAAACGCTGGACCTTTCTCCTGCATTACAAACGTACGATCTAAACATTTATGTTTTAAATGCTCAAAATGATCTCTCAAACTCATTAATTAAACATCTGAAAATGGTCTTTCAAGAAAGCGCCTGGAACCAGAGAGAACATTTTCGGTGGCAGTTTTTGTAGATTATTTTGTTAAATTTGTGAAAAAAATACTTAAAAAATTGTTTATAGCAAAATTTAAAAAGTTTTGTTGTTTTTTTTTTAACAGTGATGTATTATATTTTCGCAGTACTCTAATAAAAAGTTATACAGTGGGTGATCGGTTAACGAACATAATCCGTTCCAAGACTTTGTTCGCTATCCGAATTGTTCGTTAACCGATTATCGATTTACCGTAGGTTTTAATGGGAATTTAATTAATTCGTTCCGGAGACCCCCAAAAATAAAAAATATATACTTTCTTACTATGTTTATTTATATGTAATAATAAAAATACATATATACACAGTCTCGCATTTTTATTAGTCATATTCTTTCCGTTTGAAAGGGTTAAAGAATCTGTCTAATGTCGATCGCTTTTCTCTCTTCTTCACGATTTTTCGTAAGTAATTAATAGCATTGTAATTGTAGAGACCCCGAAGCCTCAACCTGGTTTGGATGCCATTCTAAGACCGTCGTTCTGACATCCTCCCACTTCTACAAAGAATCTTTAATAACAGATATCGGCATTAATCCTCTTTTTCGGAAGAAAACGTATCTCGTCGAGTTTCTTGGTGTTTTTCATTCGCGAGTTCTTGGCATTCTTCTGTCGTCAGATCCGTTTTAGGTTAAGGTTACATTACGAACTCTTCGATGACCTGTTTACCTGTTACGCCATATTGCCCAGCAACATTAGGCATCTTCTGCTCACTCTTTACCTTTGCTATTATACTCTCACCTTTCGAAAATAAAAACAAACGCAAAACTTAACGAGTGCCTACCCGACAGTCTCGCGAATACACAAAAAAATTATTTTGTCAGAAAAATAAAAGGCTGGAATTACAAGGGAGAATTTCAAAGTTTGAAGGAATGCTATCCGATCGGTATATACCGGCTTGAGTGTCGATGTCGACGTCTCCCACACTCTGAAAAGTTTCGAATTGTTGCCCGAAGACGAGGGAAGACCAATGGGTATTCATTATTTTACGTCGCTTCTTCTTGTGTTTGTTCTGTGGGGTGTTCGTTATCCGATCATGTGTTCGTTGTCCGAACATAAAAATTCATCGCGAAAGTGTTCGTTATCCGATTTGTTCGTTATCCGATCTGTTCGTTAACCGATCACCCACTGTATTGTGTTTCAGAGGCAGGACACCCACAGACTATAAAAAAAGAGGGAACACAAGATTTTTAAATAAATTAAATTACTTTATTAAATCTGATACTAAAAATAAAAAAGACCGTACAAGTGGCCTTTAATTACCGTCTAGATTAATTGCACAAATTTATGGCTTGCATTCATCACATGTAACAGCCAAAAACCTAAAAATTGTATTTCGGGAATGCATTTTATATAAAATTGTTTATATTGAAATTATACAAAATAGTATACGGTGTTACACTTTCCTTGTATTATGGCAAGCAATTCCAGCTTTTAGCGAGTATGCAATTTGTGTGTCATAATGTAATTGAAGGCAACAGTAGAATAACGAAAATTTCTTTAACGATTATCTCCAATTCTTACGCTTTTCATTAATTTCTGTAAAATATAGAAAAGGTGTTTTACTAAAAAAAATTACAAAATGAAATTGTTATAAGGGCAGTCGATGATAAAGAAAACATTTCAATACAAAATATGGATTACGTTGTGTCTTTTCTTATTGTGATGGCTTTAATTTGGTTTCAAATCTCCAATGGGATCTTGTATTATCCATTCTTACAAACATCGCAGAAATATTAAGGAAAATCTCTTTTCTATTGTGTCGAAGTCGCATTGTCATCGGAAAATTAATGTATGGGTTACTGATATTGGCAATTCTGATGTTTGTCGCTAAAAATAATTTGAAAAATTCGTAAAATAACGTTCTTTAAGTAGAA